AAAAGGATAAAGTAGCTCAGCATTTAACTTTTTACAATAAACCCAGAGCTATGCAGTCAAGTATCCTTTTGGGGAAACAAACTTAGAAAATTATGATGGTCTGTTCAGCCAGTGTAGCTCAGTGGATTGAGCATTGTCCCATAGACCGAGAGGTCCCAGTTCAATTTCTAGTCAGGGCACATGCCCGGGTTGTGGGCTCAGTCACCAGTAGGGAGCATGCAGGAGGCAGCCAATCAAAGTTTCTATCTCTCTCTCCCTCCTCTTTTTCTAAAAAAATAAGAAATAAAAAAAATTTTTTTTTAAGAAAATTATAATGGCCTTATTTTTCTACCACCTCATTTCTTCCTGTGCAATGTAGGATACATATTTCCATCTGCTCCCAAAACCAAGTAGGGCAGCCTGTGGCATATTACAGAGTCACCTTCAAATAGCTCCCTCCTCCAAGAAGTCCTAATGCTTAAATTCCTACCATAATTAGGAGATAAAAGGAGAATTTTTAAGTTGCATTGCAAAATGGAATATAATCACACCCTCTATGATTAAAGCTAAAAAATAAATAAACTATCAAAGAAGGGTTACACTTCAGAAATAAGACCTTTAAAAACAAGAATCCTTTTTACTTTCATAACCCAAAAATATGAAGATGAATAATGTAACAATTTTTAAATGAGTAAAATATTTGCGTGGACATTTCTCCAAAGAAAAGGTACACATGGCCAATAAGCACATAAAAAAATGTTCAGGCCCTGGCCAGTTTGGCTCAGCGGTTAGAGCGTCGGCCTGCGGTCCGGAGAGACCCGGGTTCGGTTCCCGCTAAGGGCACGTACTTCGGTTGCAGTTTGTCCCCGGCCCTGGTTGGTCATGCAGGTGGCAGCCACTCGATGTGTCCCTTCACGTCGATGTTTTTCTCTCTCTCTCTCCTTCCTCTCTCTCCCTCCCACTCTATCTGTACAAAAAATGGAAAAATATCCTTGGGTGAGGATAAAAAAAAAATGTTCAGTAGTCACAGACACATGCAAATGACAGCCACAGTGAAATGCCACTTCACACTCACGAGGGTGGCTATAATCAAAAAGTCAAAAGCAATAATTATTGGCAAGAATATGGAGAAATCCAGAACATTTATATAATACCAACAGAATGTAAAATGGTATGACCATTTTGGAAAACAGTCTGACGCTTCTCAAAAAGTTAAATATAGATACCATTTGACTCACAATTCCACTCATAGGTCTATACCTAAGACAAATGGAAACCTATGTCTGCAAGAAAACTTGTACACAAATGTTCATAGCAGCATGTTTATTCAAAAAGTGGAAAAATACAAATTCCCATTTATGGATGATGGATAAACAAAATGTTCTATACAATAAAATATTTACTCAGCAATTGAAAGAAGTGTGATACATGCTACAGTGTGGATGAATCTGGAAAACATTTTGCTAAATAAATAAAGCCAAACACAACAGATGACATATTACATGATTTCATTTCTAGGAAACGTCCGCAATAGGCAAGTTCATAGAGAAAGAAAATAGATTAGTGGTTGCCTGCAGCCAAGAGTTTGGAAGAAATAGAGAGTGACAGCTATTAGTTAGGGAGTTTCTTTTTGGGGTAACAAAAATGTTCTAAAATTATATTGTGGTGATGGTTGCACAACCCCAGGAATACAGTAAAACTCATTTAATTATATACTTTAAATAGGTGAAATATATGGTATGGGAATTAAATCTCAAAGCTGTAGCAAATGAATGATATCCATATAGATGGATCCATGAACTTAAAAATTATTGTTTGAAGGCCGTTTGCTTAGGAGTTAAGACATGTTATCAGACACTTATACCTTTGATGACAGTGGTTTATGACTTTACCTAGTCAGTTATTTAGTATGTATTGATCAGCACAAATAGTTTAAACATTTGTCTTCCATGTCCATCATACCCCTTAAAATTCTTTTATTATCATTTACTTTCCCATCTCCAGATTTAATCACTTCCTCTTGATTCTTGTTCTTGACTTCTTGAATAGACTAGAGTTTTAAAAGGTATTTTTATGGAATTTTTTGTGGTGTCACTGTAGCACTGGGGACCATTCTCTCCACCTTGAAATTCTTCTCTTGCCTTCACTGATCTTATATTCTTGCGTCCGTGCTCTCTGAGGTCTGCTCCTTCTTTATGTTCTTCTTCAGTTCCTCTTGACCTCCTCTCCTTAAAGGTCATTATTCATCAAGACTGTGTCCTCAGTACTCTGCATTTCTCTCCTTACCCTTGTCCCTTTGTTAATACATTCTGCATACAATACTTAGACCCATCACATATTCTAGGCTTCGAAGATACTTTTCTGTCAGCTGAATAAACATTTTCAATGTTCTCTTCCATGGTTACTCTAGTATTATGAAAACACAAACACATATATATAGTCAACTTTTTAAAAGTCCCTACCATGTGCCAGAGATTAAACTAGACATGAGAAATACATACATACATCAATGCCACTTGCCTATGAGGTGCTCATAGTCCATTATGGGTAGAGAGGCAGACATGCAAATGAGTGCAATGAAGTGCTTTAGGTCCTGTGACGGCATTTTACGCCTTCCATTCATTTCTAGTTTCTATTCCCAGAATCATATTACCGGTCTGTATTAATTCTGATGATAATATCCTTGCTGATCTGCTTAACTTAATCTCTCCCTATTCTAAATTAATATTCTGAAAACACTGCATATCTATTTTCTGCTCACAAACTTTTGGTGGCTCTCTGTTGTTGAAGGATCAAGTGCAAATGCCTCATCTTCACCTGGAAGACCCTTTACACACTGGCTGCCTCTTCCATCTTCTCCATGCTCACCTACCTACCCACGACCTCCGCTGCAACTGATCTGAGCCACTAACTTTTGGGCATGTCTTAAAACATTCTGCTTCTGAACTTTGGTCAGAAAACGTTTCTTTCTTGGCTTGCTGATTGAGGCGATGCCAGCTTTGGTAACAAAAACATACAAATGGCTTAAGACAGCAAAGTTCACTAGTCCCTCATGTTAATAGTCCAATGTAGATGTTTTGATTGGATGTTGGCTTTGACCCACAGAATGTTTCACAATCTAGGTGTTTTGTTTTGTTTTTGGTGTTGAGTGTTCTCACCCCCTCACCTAGGGCCTTGAAGTTATCTGCATCCAGCAAGCAGATGGGAGAAGAGTATGAAGGGGGGTCCATAGGATGTCTTTATGGATCAGGCCTAGAGGTGGCACACATCACTTCTATCCACATTTCAGTGGCTGGAACTCAATCATATTGCTTATTCGATCACCAGAGAGTCTGAGAAAAGCTGTCCCACTGTGAGTTCAGATAGAAGAAGAATTAGTTTTGTGAATGCCCAGCAGTCTTCGCCACCCTGTCCTCCTCATTACTCCCCACTGTGGAGAATCTATTTCATACTCGTAGAGGTTAGACCAAGTGTCACTTCCTCTGGAAAGCAGTGCTTAACCACTTCAAAGGGGAGTGAGAATTCTCTTTCCTGAAGTTTCACAATACCTATTGTCTTTGTCACTTATTTTACACTTACCACGCACTGTATTGAAGTTACTTTTCTTTTTCGTCATGCATGTCCTTTCATCCCCAGTGGAATCCTAAACCTCTTAAAGGCATACTTTTTGGGTCATTCTTTCATTCATTTATTTAATGGACAAACTTCTATCTATACGACTTAATATTTGATACCATAGGGAATACAAAAGTTGATAAAAAGTCATCTCTGGACCTATATCATCATTTTAGGATTTGATTTAGAAAACATTGACATGAGCAAGTCCTCTGAGTTCTTTAAAACTAGGGAGGAAATTCATTTAAATGATCAGCCACACCATGAGACTTTAATTCATTATAAGGATGACATTATGTAAATGAATGGAAATATTAAATAGTATTCTTCATTTCCCCTTCCACATTGATTGGCCATTGGGTAGCCAAGCAGTGAAAACCTTTTCTACTATTATAAACAGACATAGACAAATTGTGGTCATTACTGAAAATATTCAGTCATGTTGCCTCACCAGTTGAGTCAGGCTTTAAGATTAAGTCTTTGAGGAGGTCTGTGACATCCTAGGTGATGACAGCCTGGTATTCCTACACAATTCTCTGCATGTCCGTGAACAGTCCACATGCATCTCTGACACTGAGAGCTGAGAAAAAGGAAATGGGTTGGTTCACACTGAAGTGAAAAAAAAAAAAAAAGATTTAAACTGCTAGGCAAGGAATCTGGGTTAAATATATGGGAGACTTTATTAAAAATGAATTAACCTTAAAATGGCTTATTATTAAGCCCTTTTTTACCCTTCTAGAAAATATTAGGTATGTTACAGTAAGTACAGCTGCTAGAAAACCAGAGGATAAAATAAATAGCCTCTGGAGAGGTCCTCCCCACCTTGCAAAGCCTAAATCCTAAGGCTTAGGCTATTTTTGGCTTTCTTTCTGAGATGCCTCAGAAAGGAGCCTATACAATGAAAGTAAAAGCGGCTCTTTATTTCTTTTTTTCTTTCTTCTCTGACTACTCCAAGATCTGTTTTTGCCACCACTTCATGAGTATTTCAATTACTTGTTCCCTCAACAATCCTGCAGAGAAGCACTGCCCCCACCCCCTTTTTATAGATGAAGATATTGAGGTTAAGTGATTTTCTCAGGGTTACAAAGAGACCTAGCAGCAATGAAGGAATGAGAACTAGCAGATCAACCTTCTGGCGGATGAATAGATTGAGTTTCCGAGCAGCTGCTATTATATTGCAAAGAGGCCACGTAGGCACCCGGCTGAATGTGCAAAGAAACCGGGTCCTGGAAATGAAAGGGAGGCTGCGAGGACAGCTTTTTCCTTCTTATTAATGACATAGTCCATTGTTTAAAGTTGGAAAGAAAGGCCCTTAGAAAAAGAGCTTTTTAAAAAGGGAACAAACAGCAGGGCACTCAATTTGGGACCCTGCCTCAATGAGACCCTTGTTGTCTGTCTACTTGCAGACAGCGCCGCGGAGGAGGCCGGGCTCCAGATCGGAGACGTGGTGCTGGCTGTCAACGGCACCGAGGTCGCCAGCGTGGAGCACGCAGAAGCTGTGCACCTTGCAAGGAAAGGTAGGTGGGTGGGCTGCTGAGTTTAGAGTTAATCTGAGGACGCGAGAGCTGCAATGGGTAGAAGAGACAACACGATTCTTTTGTAGAAATTAAATCACTTTTCTGCCCCATGCTCCTCCGTATCGATGGCCAGCCACAGAAGTGAAACCGGAAACAGCAGTGAGCAACCTGTGCTCTATGTAAAGATGAACACCAAAAGGTGTGCTGCAACCCCTTGTCATGAAAAATTGCATTGCAATGATTCTCTGTATAAGAATTCATTTACTGCTTCTCTTCCTTCCTCTCTTCTCTGCTTCCCTCTATTGTCTCTTTCTTCCTTTTTTTCCTTTCTTTCCATCAGTTGTTAGAGTTAAGAGACTCAGAGTTTTAATATTAAAAAGAGAGAGAAAGAGAGAGAGAGAGAGAGAGTCTGGCTGATGTGGCTAGGTGGCTGAGCGTCGACTCATGCACCAAGGAGTTGCCAGTTCGATTCCCGGTCAGGGCACATGCCCAGGTTGTGGGCCCAATCCCCAGTGGGGGGCATGCAGGAGGCGGCCAATCAATGTTCTCTCTTATCAATGTTTCTCTCTCGCTCTCCATCTACCTTCCTCTCTCTCTAAAATCAATAAAGAAAAAAATTTAAAAATATTTTTTTAAATAAAAAAGAGAGAGAAATGAAGAAATTACAAATTATAAGTTACAAATACTATAGATTCCCTAGGACCACTTGTAGCCTGCCCTTAAAGCAATTCTGATACAGATGGAACCACAAGAGAACAATAACACATGTCCCTTGTATCCACTCACATTAAACTTTGTGGGAAGGCTAATAACATCTTTCTCTCTGTAAACCAAGTTCCTTCCTGTGGTGACAAGTTACAAATTTTTATCTCCCCACAGACCTAGAAGTATAGAGACAGCAAATGCTATATTCCATCATGGGGCTATTTGGTGAGGGTCCTAGTCCTGGCTTCCCAACATCTGTATGCATCCTCCCTGCCCCCGAAGTATATTATCAGGTAATGAGATATTAAAATATGTGCATTTGAAATAGGCCACAGGTGCCACTTGCTGAGCTATAAGGATCACTTACCCTTTCTCGTGATATCATTATGCTTAGGGGTTAGCAGCAGCAAGAGATTCTCCAGTGCAGACCAGGACAAGGAAATCACTATTGTGCCCTGGGCCTTTTTAAAGAAAGAATGTGGCTTAGTATTTGGCTGCTCTGAAGGATCCGTCTTATACCAGGGGCACCAGGAATCCACGCTGGCAGCATGTGCACAGCTCCTTGTGAGTCCTACACGAATAGTTACTCTATGTGCAGCACAGAAGGGAAATCCAGACAATATGGTAATGATTATACTAATAAATTGGTAGTATCGCATACATTTTATCCGCTTATATTTGGATTTACCTGTTCCTTGGTTCTTTGTCACAAGTGATTACTTCTAATTTTTTGAGTTAAATAAAACCTGATTTTTAGTAATATTTACACTCTTAGGATTTACTTTATTTTCCTCCAAGAAGCTTAATGTTCTTTATAATACTGAACCATTCAGCTTCACCATATCAGTTTATGAAAAACAGGAAATATCTCTAAAATTTAAATGGAAGGTTTTCAGATTTCTAAAAGATGACGAATCAACATTGATCCTGAGAAAAAAGCTACGCTGAACACCCTCGCTTGTGCTGTGCTGGCAGCTACGCGTAGGGTGAATGTATCTGCTGTTCTGGCTTCCACCGCACCCTGGTCCCCCTTTCCCAAGCAGACACTGACCCTCAGGGAACCTCTCTGTGTCCTTGCCAACTTTTCTCTGACTCATCAGTGGAGATGCCTCAGAAGCGGAAAGGCGAATTCTAGATCTGAGGCTCTGACGTGAGGACAATGAGAAACTTTTGGGAAAACAATGTCACTGTGGATGTTCAGAGCGGTGGGATCTAGAGCCAACAGCAGAAGAGGGCTGAGTGCCTGGTGTAGGGCATAGCTAAGGGAGCGTTTCTTAGTGTTTTCTCCCCGGATGGCCCTTGGTGGCCAGTTCCCCACCACTGAAAGCCAGGCAAACAGCAGCACCTGTATGGACAGGCCGTGGGAAACAAGGTGGTCCTTTGGCCCAGCTGGATTAGGGAGATGAGTATTTCTTTCTCAGGCTTAATCTCATGCACATCTCTAAGACTACTTGAGAAATAATAAAAAGAAAAAAATGCAAATAAAATAAAAAGGAAACAATAAAAAATAGGAAAATAGTTTTAAAAAATAATTAAATACTACTTTAAAGGACTGTGTAACAATCTGAAAACGAGGTAAATAGAAGATGAGGCGTAGGTAAACGTGGTACTCACCTTCTCCCACAGCATCAAAATCACGACTGAACTGCAGAACAACCATCTTTCAGAACCACCTGAAATTGAGCTGAACAGAAGCCCTACAACTACGAAATTAAGGAAAAAGCCACATGGAGACTGGTAGGAGGTGCGGAGGCACAGAAGGGCTGGTCTCATACCCACGTGTGGCGGATAAAAATCAGGAGGGTACCCCGGCTGGGAAGGCCCTCCCTGAGGAGTGAGGGGTCCCCATCACACACCAGGCCCCAGCTCAGGGTTCCAGTGCCAGGAGGAGAGTCCCCATAACTTCTGGCTGCAAAACCAGCAGTAACTGAGGCTGAGGGAGGCTGAGGCTGCTGAAGCCCCAGGCAGTTCCTCTTAAAGGGCCCACTCATGGACTTACTCAGACTCTCTCCCTCTGGGCTCCAGCACAGGAGAGGCAGTTTGAAAGGCACCAGAGACATATCCAGAGACATACAGGGAAGAACTGAGTTGTTTGGCATGGGCATGAACAGGAGAGGCAGCTTTCTCCCGGACAAAGGTGCTGGTGGAGGCTGTCGTTCCTTTGGTGAGCCCTTCCCCCACAAGGCAGGCAGACAGGACTTCTATCTGGGTCTCCAGCAACCTGGTTGACACAGTTTTCCCTGCCCTGGTGATTCTCTGAGGCTCTGCCTCACCCAACTTTCCCGCCCACCCACGATGTTTCCAGTAACCTTACCACAGGAAAGGCCTGTTTGGGCTCATGCTTTGGATTTTCCTAAAGTCTCTCAAACAAGCAGCATCTGGCTTCAGCAAGCCCCATACTTCTCGCTGAGTGGCCCCAGGCCTGGCACTAACAGCAGCCGACTTTGGTTCACAGCTGGCCTTCATGGGCACCTTCAAGGCCAGCACAAGAAGCAGCCATCTGCAGAGAGCTTGTAGCTTATGGCTGGTGGCCCCAGGTAGAACACAGGCAGTAGCTGACCTTGGCCTGCATCTCCCGGGAGGCCCCAGAGCCAACACACCCAGTGGACAGCTTCAGATCATGTTGAAGCACCACGACCCCACCACCTCCACAAATGAGACACTCAAGGGTTGGACTCAGTGAGTACCAGAGCCCTGCTGCAGCAAGTCTTGCTCTGTGTGGTGGGCCCCTGCCCAGCTGATCCTCCATATGTCAGTGATAGTGGTCACAGTCAGTCCTTGCAGCTGTGTAAATCAGTTTGCTGACATAGCAACAGCAAACAAGACTCAATTAGAACTGACGGGTGTATAATCTACATAGGAGGGTACACCTTGAGTGCCCAGCTGGAGTGACCAGAGAGGCTGTGCCACCAGACCCTTCAGAACACCTACTATAGTAGGCCACCCTACTAAGCCTAGGACACATAGCATAGAAACAAACACAGGGAGGCATCCAAAATGAGGAGACAAAGAAACATGTTCCACATGAGAAAGAACAGAACAAAACTCTAGGAAATAGAGCTAAACAAGATGAAGATAAGCAACTATCAGATGCAGAGTTCAAAACACTGGTTATAAGGATGCTCAAGGAACTTAGTGAGGACCTCAAGAGCATAACAAAGGACCAGTCAGAAATGAAGGATGCACTAACTGAAGTAAAGAATAATTTACATGGCCCTGACTGGTTTGGGTCAGTGGTTGGAGCACCAGCCTGTGGACCAGACAGTCCACAGTAACCAAAAAGTTACTACGGGTTTGGTTCCGCTAGGGGCATATACCTTGGTTGCAGTTTGTCCCCGGCCCCATGGGGTTGTATGGATGGCAGCCAGTTGATGTGTCTCTGTCACATCAATGTTTCTCTCTCTCTTTCTCCCTCTCTCCTTCCCTCTTTATCTGAGGATAGATGCTCAGTGAGGATAAAAAAAAAAAAAGAAGAAGAAGAAGAATTTACATGGAATCAATAATAGAGTAGGTGAAGCTGAGAAGCAAACCATCAATTTGGAATATAAGTAAGCAAAAAACACCCAATCAGAATAGCAAAAAAGAAAAAAGAATCCAAAATAATGAGGATACTGTAAGGAGCCTCTGGGACAACTTCAAGTGTACCAACATTCACATCATGGGGATGCCAGAAGGAGAAGAGAGAACAAGAAATTAAAAGCCTATTTGAAAAGATAATGACAGAAAACTTCCCTTGGTGAAGGAAACAGACATACAAGTCCAGGAAGCACAGAGAGTCCAAACAAGATGAACCCAAAGAGGCCCACATCAAGACACATCATAGTTAAAATGCAAAGGGTTAAAGACAAAGACAGAATCTTAAAAGCAGCAAGAGAATCCCGGCCAGTGTGGCTCAGTGGTTGAGCATCAACCCATGCACCAAGAGGTCGCTGGTTAGATTCCTGGTCAGGGCACATGCCCAGGTTGTGGGCTAAACCCCCAATAGGGGGCTATCAGGAGGCAGCCAATTGATGTTCTCTCTCATTGATGGTTCTATCTCTCTCTCCTTCTCCTTTCTCTCTCTCTCTCTAAAACTGAATCAAGAAAAAAAAGAGAAATAAAGGTATATTGTCTAGGAGGAAAAAAACAACCATTATTATTTGTAGATTATATTATTATAACAAAATCAATAGACCAATGCTTAGAACTAATTAGAAAAATATTGACCAAACCAAGATCTCCTTATAAAAATCGATAGTGGTCACCTAAACCATTTAAAACCAAAAAAAAAAGGACACTATGATATGATTAACAGTAGCAAAAAACCTCTTGTTGGACAATAGGCATTTCAGAGAGCAAGCTGGTCAACTTCTAGTAAAGTACCTATAAATTCTTTGTCCTAGCAAATTACACTTCAGGGTTTATAAGCCTAAAGAAACTGCTGAGAGGACAAATACAAGGACATTCAATGCAATGTTCTATGTGGTGGAGTCTGAGTGACCAACAATAGATACGTACTTAGACTTCTATTTCGCACTTTGAAACAATAAAGGAGATGTGCATTTAGCCAGCACCATGGATAGATCCTTTGAAAAACCGGTTTTGAGATTTTATAAAAGGACAGAAATAGAATGAGATATTAGCATACTATCATTTCTGTAAAATAAAATGACATACATGAAAGAATGTGCCTTAAGTCCTATATCAAGTGTGTTTTATGAGCACCTATTGTGGGGAGCAGAATGGGTGAGGGAAATTAGGAATAGAGGGAGAACATAAAGTAAAATAAAACAAAACAAAAGGGAGCTGTGTTCCAAAGACAGTTGTGTGCAATAGCCTGAGTGCTCTGATGGGGTGGGCAGTCCACCCAAGTTCAAGAGTGACGGATGAATACCTCCTGAAAGGAATCCAGCCATGCACAATCTTAGCCCCATCCTCATTCTATAATGTATAGGTGGTAATGGTGATGGAAGGCAAAAACAAACTAGGATTACTGAGATGCAGTGGGTCTGAGAAGAAACTAAAAAAGAGGAAGAGAAAAAGGAAAAGTGATAGGAATAAGTTAGTTATATGTAGTACTTTACACGCTCAATTTTGTAACAAGCCTATAAACTGGTCAAGGTATATCTGGAATGTATAGAATCTGAAACAAGCTTTTGGGTGTCTTCTCTGAGAGAGAAAGTCACCAACTTATCTGAAGAAAGCAATCATCATGAAACAACTGATAGAGTCTTTTGTTAAATTCTTCTGCTTTAGAGAGATCTTGAAGTATATATTTGGGATGTATCTATTAAGAGCTTGCTGAAAAATCAAAATGTTTCCATTTGCCTTTTGTATCTGTTTGCCTAAACTTCTTAAAAGTCAACTAATATCATTTTGATGGCTATATATTTCTGCAGTTTTATTCCCATGCATTTTATACTTTGGTAAAATCCTATTATATTACTAGTTGCTACTTTGCTGATTTAGATTTATAAACATTAAATCACTTTTCTCAAAACATTAAATCTAACAGCATGCCAGACCCACCAGAGACACTCTTTTAAATAAAGAATTCCTGGTAGTGGCCTGCACATTTGTCATTTTAATCAACCCTCCTGGTAGCTCTCTCACAGGCATCTCAGCATCAGTACACAGCCCGGCATCTTGGAGGCATGGCCGGAAGGTTACAGCCATAGATTAGGAGTCTATTTTGTTAGCTATTGGTGCAGGTGTTATCGTATCTTCCTAGACTAACATTAGAAAGGGGACCCACCGTCTGTTGCAAGGTCAACTTTTCAATAATCCTATTGACATAATAATTCTATTTAATAATAATCATAATAATATATTATAGAATAGTATAATATAAAATAAAAATAATCAGATAATAATTCTATTAAAAGTTACTACTAATCACACTCACTTGTGCAAATTACCATAATTTTGCTGACGGGGAACCTGGAACAGACTTTAAAAAGTGTTCAGTGTCACACCAGGAATGACAATGGTTCCATGTGACTCTATATTTACGTCCCTCATCTGTTCTAGTTTGGGTTTTTATAGAGGTAGTAACTTGCAGACTCAAATAGAAGATTTAACGATCAAGGGGAAATGCTGGGAAGAAGAAAAGGAAAAGAAAACAATAAAGCTTAATCCACCTGGAAGTCCTCTGAGCCTGTGAGGGCTGTTTTGTTTCACTCTGAGCGGCTGCACTGAAAACAAGACAGGAATGCCTGCGGAACCGGGACCTGGGCAGCGGCACCCGGGGCCAGGCCACCGCGCAGCCCAGGGACCCGCCGGTCTTGCACATTTCTCTTCTGCGCCTGCGAGGGTGGCGGTTTGTCTGACAGCAGAGGTGTGACTCTGACACAGTTTAAGATTGGTGGCATTATGAGAAGACAGTGATCCAAGGAGAAAGTGTGAATTAGAAAAAGAAATCATTTTTCTCTCTCCTGTAGCTGTAAATAACCTCACCCACAACTCCTTACTTCCAAAATCCTAGGCCAAAGTGCTAGGGAATAAAAGTTTGCTAGAGAGCCTTTCTTTTTACGGAAGTCACCACCAAAGAACTATATTTGTTAAAGACGTCCTTTTTGAACTCTCATCTCCTGAAACAGGTAGTTCTCTCGACTCTTTCACCTCAAGCCATTCATCTCCCCACATCCTTCCTCCCACCCAGCCCCAAAGAGCAAGCAAGATCTCTGGGATGTCCGACGGGAAGGCAGTGGTTATGTGCGTTCTTTCCCCAGGGTGGAGGAGCACTTCGGTAAAGAAGTAAAGGATGAAAAAGCTAATAATTTCGTTGTTGGAAAATACTGGACCTGAGAACGAAAGCATACAGGGGAAATTAAATCATAGCTGAGGAAAAAAAGAAGGCTGATGGTTACTTATCCAGTTATGCTTGTGAGCAGAGCCTCAGCCACTTAGAGATGCCTGGGGACTTGACACACGCATTGTGGTCTGACACCACCAGAGAGCTTGTTACAAACACAAAATCTCAGGCCTCGCCCCCAACCCGCTGAATGAGGATAAGCATTGCAACGGACCTACCAGGTAATTTGCATCTACATTATTTTGAGAAGCACTGAACTAGGACATTTCAATATGTTTTAAGCATCCCAGTAAATTCATAGATAAAAAATAACAAAACCAGGAGATTTTAATTGTTTGTACTTTCAATTGAGTTCTTTACACACACACACACACATACACATTACAACGACTACATAAATAATCTAATTTGGAGATAACATCTAAAGTCTAAAATCTCTGTGAATGCCTGGGTCCCCCCAGCCCCTGATGGAACCCACAAAGAGGATAACACCACCATCACCAAGCAGCTGTTTGGAGCTCAGCAGCTCCCCGTGCACCAAGATCATGTTCTAACTCTGAGTGTAAAAAACTTTCCTTGAATATGATGACACCATGCTGCAGCAGGACCATTTGTACCCTTGCCCCAGAGAGAATTTTTTTGGTGCACCAGGTCATGCTTATGGCTGGCTGAAAATCAAGCTTAGCCTGATCAGCATCAGAGAAACCCACAAGCAGTCTGTGTAAGCAAGAGGAAAAGGACCTCCAGGGCAGCACACTGCAGCAGTACATAAATAAATCAGCAGATGTGTCAACGATGCATATTAGTCCAGGAGTGCAGCTCTTTGGGGACTGGAGTCCAAAGACAAAGACATTTGTGGTTGCTGGTCAATCTGGAGCATTTCTTCTAATTTTTCTGGATGTGTTTTTGACAGGAGCTTAAGGGCAGTTCGATAAATTAAAATGTATTTACATGTCAATGAAGAATTATCTTGACACACAGAGTTATTTAATTACCAAGGTGGCTTTGCGTGCTGCTGAAGTTAAGGCTATGTCAGCCTTTCTGGGACAAATCTTTATTTTCAGGGCCATGCGGCTCAGCCAGCAATGATCCCCTGGGTTGGCACTTGTCATTTGTATAAAAGCAGTTCTCCTCACTGACCCCCATTTCCATAGACAGCTCTAAACAGATCGGCAATCTCAATGTCAGACATCATGATGAAGTCAGCACCGCCAAGGCCAAATGTCCCCCTTCAGGGATGTGGCCTGCCTCTCAGAGGAATTGTAAATGAAGCCGTATCCCATTTGTAGTCTTCAAAGCATGTCAGGGTTGCCGTCTTTCCGAATGACATTCAGAGAGTTTTCTTGGGCGTATGATGCAAGGCTGTGTCCACGCTGGCGGCATCAAAGCACAGGTGGTAAACAGTGATCTCACATTATCAGGGACAGGGACAATTCCCCCTAAGCTACGCACCACTCTGAACGTAAAGGACAGGAGGTCCAGGCTCCGAGGAAGGCACTCTAAGAAGTCGAGGACAAGCACCTGAAATCTCAGGGTCCTCAGCACTGAGTTAGGTAGAACTTCTGTCTACTTCCAAGTTCAAAGGTTTGTGACTGATTTTGATCAGAGATAATATTGGCGACAGATACCTTAGCAATGGTTTAGATACTCCCTTTCACTCACCCAGGTCAAGGAGGCTGATTGAATAAAAGTGAAATAGGAAAGCCAAACATCACGTACCTTCTTTCTTAGGTTGTAAATCAAAATAGGTTAAAGATTTCGCTTGACATTATTATAGACAGCGAGAAGGAACAGACTTGAATCACTCACGATCAGTCCCAACAAGGCCAGGTGGCTGAATGGAGTTCTGCCCCAGAAGTCAGGACATCTGGGTCCCACATCTGACTCAACCCCTTATGAGCGGTGGGTCCTCAAAAACGTCGCTTTACCCCCCAGCTTTCATTTTCCTCATCCACGTGAGAGGCTGAATTAATGAAGAATTCTGATTCATTCCAGTTGTGGGGTTCTGTTTGATTTATTCCATTATGAAAACTCTAACTTCTTTTTTACCCAGTTGATGGAAAGATTCAGCCACTGAACTATCCCAAATTGCCTCCTCCAGGCCCAGACATCTTGACTCTGGTGGTGGGATCTGACATCAGCCGCTGTCCCAATACCCCTTGGCCCACCTGCCGCGGCTACCTACACAAGAGGACTCACTCTGGGTTCGTGAAGGGTTGGCGGAAGCGGTGGTTTGTGCTGAAGCATGACGGCTGCCTCCACTATTACAGACACAAGAAGGTACACAGAGGGGAGGTGGGAGGGTTGGCACAGCCGAGAAGAGACCCTGGGACGTGCGGTCGGTCCATTATGTGTCTTGTGAGGTGGCACGATTCTGACAACTGTTCTGTTCTATGACTTTTAAAGAACTTTTCCTTCTTCAGAGGTTCAGAGAATTGTAATTTATTTTCTCTGCTGCTGCATAAATCGAGGTTGGCATGAGTTTCTACCTCATTTATTCCTATTTTCAGATCCTCTGTGAAAACTTCCTTATCAAAGCCAAAAAAATAAGAACCAAACAGCATACTTAGTACCCTAGAGAAATCAAGGTGGGCGAAGGCAAAGTACCACTAACATCTCGCTAGACCGCGGTGCCTGGGCACCGTGCCCTGGGTTACAGTGACGGATGTTAGCAAGGCTTCGGGCGCAGATCACCCCCAGAAAGCCACCCTGGAATACCTTGTTCCATGTCCCAGATTTCACTAGCATGGTGATTCCTAACTATAGGTGAAGGTTGGAATCTTCCGGGAAATGTTCTCAAGTTATGCAAATCCAGTCCACCTCCCAGATGTTTCTCATTCCGCCATCTGGGAGGGGCCTGGGCCTGCTGGTGATTCTCGTGGGCAGTTGAGACCACCAGCCTGCAGGCTGTGTCTTGTCAGCAGATGTGTTTTCCTAGCCCTGTGTAATCCACTGTTTAATTATTTTAATCTGATGCAAACACAAAATTCAGAGATTTCGCATAAATTCCTTAACATTTGGTGGGAGCTAAACAATGACTCCCTCTTTGGGGAGCATGGGAAGTATCCAGTCCAACAAAGGGCCCCCTGCTTTCTACTGTCTCCCACCCCGCTGCCTTCACGCCGAACCACGTGTTCGTGAACCGCTGTCAGTAAGTGTTAGAAACAGGAGTTTGGGTTGTTTACCTAATTTACAGCACAATCTTATTATTTCTGACTTTATTTTATATTGCCCTGGTTTCTTCATTTTAAGCTTCTTTTTGTGTGTGTGTTTTATATATATACAGGGTGTCCCCAAAAATGTATACAGGGTGTTTTCAGATTCTATTACATTTCTGGAACAAGGAAAGAAAAATATCAATAAAGAAATCAATACACCTTAAAAATGAGGAATAATGGTGCATATTGTATCCTTGCGAAGACTGTCTATTCCAAGATTGTTAGTCACTTGTTTGTGATGACACAGACTAGGAGGTGTCTGCGTTTCGTGGTAATGTGAGCTGTACAGCTACTGTGAGAAAACTCTGTCTCCCTCCAGTGCAGGAAAATAGGATTCTCTGCAGTCGGGATGGGAAGGGAGGGTCCAGCCTCGCTCTCTGTGTTCCGAGTATTACAGGGGAAAGGAGCAGAAACGCAACCTGGGTGTGCTTCCGAGGCCCCTGAAGAATTTTCCAAAGTGCCGGCACAAACCATCTCCCTCCCCTTACCTCCTGCCTGGGCTCCTGGAGATGGGGTGTTCTTTTGTAAGCTTTCAAGGTACTCATGATAGACCTGATCTGTAACCTGGGTGAATCCCACGACAAAGTCTATTTCCACCTCTACTCAGAAGAGAAAAACGAGAATGCGAGCTTGCCAGTTTTTCCTCCATGGTTCTTTTTCCTGAGATTGTGTTCTTTCTACCTTTCGGTGATAATTTTTGCTTCCTCTTATTAAATAGTGACAGCAGTCGATGCTGGCGTTTCTTGAATGGCCTTCCTCAGCAAAACAAATACATAAAAGCAACCTTATGTCAAGCACCCCATGTTTAAAATTCCCAGTTCTTGAAAGTCAAAGTGGTTCCTGGAGCCCGTGTGTTGGGTCTGGGTTTGTCAGGTGGCACTCGTGGGACGGGACTGCCTGCAGGTGTCATATTTGGCTTGCACAATACTTTTATAAATGTTTTAATTAAATGCATTCAGGTGAAGCATGTGCTATCCAACGTGCCATACTCCTCATGTCCTTACACTGAGCCCCATCATTTAAACTACCCACTAGGCCCTGGAAGGATTGGAGTCTATGAATCCGGGGGTAGAATTTATGTGAAAAATTAGTTATGTGGTTGTATAGCGGTCAGAATCAAAATAGACTTTTATAACTGCGTCTAGTCCTCTTTGGAAAAGAAATGTGGACCTTATAGTAAGTGTGGACATAGCTAAGAAAAAACTATTTGAGTAACTATAGTTTTAACCATCATTGCCACAGTGGGTTTTAATGTGGAAATGATAAAATATAAAAATGCAGCTTTATTTTGTTTATAGAGGGCGAAAATCAGATCCCTTGTGGTGCTACAAATTCCAGAACACGTTGTGCTTGATCTTTAGAATAGATAGCAATGGCTGAGAAGAATTAATGGTGCATAATAACAACATAGGAGAATAAATTAGCAGAAAATTAACTCGGCCATACAGTATTTATTCATGCAACAAATATGTATTGAGTGGTTTTTATGAGCCAGGCATCATTATGCTAAGTACTGGGAACACACACACACACACACATACACTCTAACTGACATTGTACCTGCCCTGTTTGTGCTTCCATAGAAGACACTGGCATTAAGAAATGGATTCACAAGTAAATATGTAACTGTGGCTCGGGCCGGGTGGCTCAGGTAGGAGCATTGTCCCATACACCAAAAGGTGGCGGGATCAATTACCAGTCAGAGCACATACCTAGGTTGCGGGTTCAATCCCCAGAGCACATATGGGAGGCAACCAGTCATGTCTCTTTCTCACATCGATATTTGCCTCCCTCTCTCTCTCGAGAATAAATAAGAACATATTCTCAGGCGAGGATTTTAAAAGATATGCAATTGTGGGTGGTACATAAGTAAAATTACAGAATAGAATAAGAGAAATGTAGCCATCTGGATCCAAAAGGTACAATCCCATAGTGATTTAAACAAGTGAAATTTAATATAAAGTATTATTATACTATGACAAAAGGATAACTGTAGGCGGGGTAAGAAAACTGCATGGTTCCAAGGGAGAGTACCAGAGGACGGAGGGAGAAGGGAAATCCCTCTGAGGCTGAGGACCCAGCTCTCCTTGGGAAATGCAGTGGAGACCGCTGGACAGCAGAGCAGCTCGAGGGCCGCCGGGTCAGGCCAGTCCGCAGTCGGGCCAGTCCGCAGTCGGGGCCAGTCCGCAGTCCGGGCCAGTCCACAGTCAGGCCAGTCCACAGTCAGGCCAGTCCGCAGTCGGGGCCAGTCCACAGTCAGGCCAGTCCACAGTCAGGCCAGTCCGCAGTCGGGGCCAGTCCACAGTCAGGCCAGTCCGCAGTCAGTCAGGCCAGTCCGCAGTCAGTCGGGCCAGTCCGCAGTCAGGGCCAGTCCGCAGTCGGGGCCAGTCCGCAGTCCGGGCCAGTCCACAGTCGGGCCAGTCCGCAGTCGGGGCCAGTCCGCAGTCAGGCCAGTCCGCAGTCAGTCAGGCCAGTCCGCAGTCAGTCGGGCCAGTCCGCAGTCAGTCAGGGCCAGTCCGCAGTCCGGGCCAGTCCACAGTCAGGGCCAGTCCACAGTCAGGCCAGTCCGCAGTCAGTCAGGCCAGTCCGCAGTCAGTCGGGCCAGTCCGCAGTCAGTCAGGGCCAGTCCGCAGTCGGGGCCAGTCCGCAGTCCGGGCCAGTCCACAGTCGGGCCAGTCCGCAGTCGGGGCCAGTCCGCAGTCGGGGCCAGTCCGCAGTCGGGGCCAGCAGAAAGCAACCCTTCAGAGCACGGATGAGGCCGGCGGACTGAAAGCTGGTAGCGGGGGCGTGGGTGTATAAAAGGAGGCGGAGGCCGGTGCGGCCCAGGCCTGGAGCGCGAGGTGTCCTGTCGGGAAGGCCCCGTATAGAAGGTGGCGGTGTGGGCAGACAAACCTAGGGGAGAGAGGAAGCGAGCGGAGGAATCAAGCCACCGGGGCTGGCAGAAGACCTGGAGCATAGGATGTCCACACGGAAAGGGTCACAGGAAGCCATCACCAGGCCACACTGGGACTGCAGGGTCTCCAGAGACACTGTGTTCTAGGTGCGTGGCTGGGACATAGCACCCCCACATCATAGCATCACCCATACTACAGCCACACCGTATCACCTGGAAAGAGCAGTTGTGCCCCCCCCCCCAATGTTCCTCTACCGCCCCCTGCTGAGAAAGCTTACATCAGCTACTGTACAGGAGTTCCATCCAGGGTTGCAGAGCATGTACTGAGGGGTGAATTTGGAGCTGAGAAGCAGTAAGTTGACAACTGGCACACGAGTAAAACGGGGAGTCTAGTATAAATTAGGAAAGGGGGGAATATGTAATGAATTCCTTCTTGAGGATATAATGTTTCAGCTGAGGCCTGAGGGTTGAATAAAAGTTAGCCAGACAGAAAGTTGAGATGAGCATTCTCCATGCAGAAGAGACCAGAGGCATGAGGTCCCTGAGCTGGAAAAGGGTGTGGAAAGTGGAAGGAGCTCAGCAAACCCAGTGTGGCCAACTCAGAGAACAGGGGGAGGAACAGGGGAGGCTCAGGCAATTCCGGGCCCCGGGTCGATGACGGGATCTTCAGATATCCTTCTAACTACAATAAAAATCCACCAAAATATCTTAGACAAGGGAATTTTCAAAAGATATTTCTGACTGTTATGTAAAGAATAAATTGGAGGGGACAAGAAGGGAAATACCAGTTAGGAAGTTAGTGCCATAGTCCGGCCACAGGAGAGTGTGGTCTTGACCAGGGTGGGATAATGAAGCTCAGTGGACAGATCTCCAGACATGTTTAAAAGCTAGAGCAACAGGATTTGGCAACATTAAATGTGGCAGAGAAAGGGGAGATCAAGGGCAATTAAGGAGGACTTTGACGTTTCTAGTGAAAGTAACTGATTGGACAAGGTATCATTTGCTGAAAAAGGAGCAAGTTACAAGGGTATAAGGTAAGGTAAGATCAGTTGTTCAAATTGAACTACTGTGAGATATATAGATATATTTAGATATAGATATAGACATATATATGCAAAAGTGGGTTAATAATAAATAATACAATAATTAATAAGTAAATAATAATACAG